TTCCTAGTATGGTTTCCTAATATGTATTTAGTGGACTCGATGTTGATTATGGATCTCATAAGCAGCTTCTCTGATTTATAGTTGAGGAAAAATAAGGCAGGAAAATGCTGTTATTTCCCCTTTGTTACTTTTGACTTGGAGACGTTAAAAAAAAAAAAAAGCCCTACGTCAGCCCTCAGGATATTTTGTAAAACGTTCTCACCAAAATCAGATAAAAGACTTTGCAGTTCTAAATCTACAATATGTTGAGGGCATATTAATGCTGTGAAGAAACAACTATTAATTGGTTAGTTCCTATTGACAACCATTAATTGTTTTAACATCAAAATTCATAAAATTTCTGGTTTGTCCAAATTTCCTGGGACTGCTTTGCTAGAAAGTAATACTTGTGATAATAACTATAAGAGTGTGGTCTGACAACTGGGTTTTTCTTTGGATACAGACATGTCCTGTCACCTCCTCTCTCAGTCAAGGATAAGGAAGAGAAGACAAAAAGATGTGAATTTGTTCACGGGCTGTTGTTGTCCACCATTCTTAGCGACGGGTTAGGAAGTTCGTAACGGCTGATGCAGTAGTACTGGACTGGAAGTATGGAACTTCACAGCCAAGTGTGCTACTGTCTATGATCTGCTTGTAGCGTGTATGCCAATGTGTGTAAAACACAAGAGTGTGGAATAAGTTCTAGGGATGAGTGTAATTTATGTGGCATGTGAACTTTAGTTTCTAGGCGTGAACATAACACTACCGTATCATGTGTTATTTCAGTTCATTATTTAGTAAAAAAGAAGAAAAATAATTCCTCAACGTAGACGTATCTGCATTTACATATTTCAGATGTTATCATATTTTGTCTGTGAAAATATCTTGGGCTGTTTATGGATTGTGCAGAGGTTAATTCGCAAAAACAGAAGCAACCTATTTGGGCAAAACATTCCAGGACTCAATTATTGTGTGATTAGGCCAAATTTGGTTAAACTAAGGGGTGCGTAAATGTTCTTGCTTGTTAAAGGTTTTCTCGTGGCGTTTTTGTTCATCAATAATACAGTTATTGGCCTGGTTTGGCGGCAAATTATAAAAATTTCGGTCTTAATACGCCATCTTAAACTAAATTTTAAGTGATCATTAATCAACTTTTGTCTCAGCTTATATGATAAGAACGTATACGCCAAATTCAGGCAGCACTAAACAAATTCTGTGTTATATCACGGTCATTTTTTAATACCACATATACTAGAAATTCTCCAAAGAAACAACAACTTCTAAAAAAGTTTGGGGAAAAATCTAGAGGGCAACATCTCTGATTTGGGCATCAAATAATTCACTTGAATAAAGAAATATGTAAATGACAAGGCAGGCTGGAAGAGAAAGATGGTTATTAGATTCAAGGAGTTAAAAGAAAACTTATATGAATTCTGCTATCTAAACAATTATGGTACCTTGATCAAATAAGAACAGAGACTTCAGTATCCAATGTCAGTGGAACCACTTCTATAAACAAGTTAATGAAATTCTTGTCTAAAACCCTAACAAAAAGAGGTGTCCAAATAAGACACCTTATGCATCAATTCCTAAAGACCTAAACTCAACCATCGTTCTGACAATTTTGTGTCCAGGATCTTCTTCACTACCTCCCCTACAAAAGAATCGAAACACGATGAGCAGCGGCCTCTCATTAGACTTGCTTTGCTACCCCCCAGTAATTCAATGTGGCCGCAGATGGGTGGTGGGGGCACGGGCACTGCCACAACCTCGTTGCTTTTGTGCTCAAGCTCGCATGCTGCTAAAATTGTGTGCGTTGAGCTCCTAGCAATGTCCATCAATGTACTTTGGGCTGAAACAAAACGAACCAAGAACAGTTGAGCATGCCACATTCCATACTGAGAATTGGTTAAAAAACTACATGGCGCAATCTAACAAGAAAAGCCATGAACACCAATAGGATGTTTCTAACAACAATGCAAATTTACATACCTAAATTACTGTCTCGCAACAAGTTCTTCAAATGGAGTTTGATCATCGAATGCAGTTCTTCCTTTGCAGTGTGTAAATCAGTCTCACCCCTGTCACGGCCATTGTTTGGTCCACCGTTGCACTGACACAACTGCTGCTCAAAATTCAATGGTGAACTCCTCTCTACAATTCCAGGCCATAGTGAACCATTGGAAGGTCCACCAGCAGAGGCAGTAAGCGGATCCTGCCCCCCCATTTGCCTTCTCACTTGGCTTATTCTTGGAGAAAACAAATCGGTATCTTGCACTGGTGTTGAGAGATTTTCACGTAATCTTTCCCGAAAGAAAGCATGAACTACTCCCAATTCTTGTGTATTTGCACGTTGACGTGGTGTTTCCCTCCCCTGATCAAGTGGAGAATTCAGATCACTAATCAAATTAGCACCTGAGTTTCCCTCATGTCTGTTAGCCATATGACCCATTCTATTTACAGAAAGGAGCTGTTGGATATGGCGGTGTATTAACCTTCTCCCGAATAGTGTTGGTGCCCCGGCTCCAGGTAATGGTGAGGTCACTTGAAAACCTCCAAAATGATACCTCGGAGATGAAAGACTCCCAAATCCTTGTGAATAAACTGAATTAAGGTCTAAACCTTCAATGAAATAGTTAGTGACGGTTGATGCTCTATCAGACACGGTGCTGCTTGTTGTTCTCTGGTCAGACAAACGAGTCTGAGCAGGGGAACTTGAGGATCCAGTAGCAACAGGTCTACAACCGTCACAATACCAATTACCTTCAGGTACTTCTCGCCCAAGGCCAACACAATAGGTGTGCGCGGGCGAATCACAAAGATCGCATAGTAACATGAGGCCATCATCCCCACCTTCATGGCATTCTGTACAAATCACGTTCTCATAAGGATCAATATAGCTCCTGAGTTCTTCCTCTGATGGCTGATATACCTGTATGCAAAAATAAACTCATTTTAAAACATATTTTGAATTAGATAATGCTAAACCCACAACACAAAACGAAGGTGATGTTAAACTGAAGCATGGCATGGAATTGATTCATACCTGATCACGCTCAGGGACTTGTATCGCCATCTCCCTCAAATCAATTCCTGCT